GGGGCGGGTGTCAAATGAAAGGAAGCGGCAAGCTTGCCACTGGCTGCGATCTAAGCTGGAAATGGCAGAAGTGCTACCAGGTAGCGCCAAGGTGTTCCACCACCTGGCTGGGCTGGAGAAGGACCCCATTCCTGTCCCAGAGCTCACTCACCCACACTGCTTACCCTAGGAAAGTCAGACAAAGAGGGGCTTGGGGACTGAGGAAGGAGTGAGAAGGGGCTCTGAGCTCTTGGGGGCCAAGCTGTCCGAGAGGCCACAGGCAGCGCTGGCCCCAGGGCTTTGCCACCACCTTGCAGCACAGAAACTCCCACTCCGCCCTCCCAGTCCGACTGGCCTCTCATTAAATCAGAACCCCCAACACCCTTCCACCCCCACCATTCATCTGAGTGGCGATTGGACAGCACCTGTCAGCACCCCAACTGCACAGCCCTGGTTCACTTTTCACTCCAACTTCTAGCCCATCCCTGCCCACTGAGTATCAGCCACACCCCGACAGAGGTAAGTGGAGGACCTCTGCCACTGCCTCTCCGGTTCCTCCCAGCCAGGGTTGGGGCTTAAAGCAACAGGCATCCTCTGTGGCAAACCTCTTCTGCCTTGTCAGAAAGGGGAAAGAACCATCGAGCTGCCCTAGTGGTGTAGCGCGATTAGGTGTTGGGCTGCAATCCATATGGTCGGCTATTCAAAACCACCAGCAGCTCTGCAGGAGAAAGACTGGGCTTTCTACTCCAGTCAACAGTTACAGTCTCAGACACCCACAGCAGGTGGCTGAGAGTCAGCAAGGTCTCCACGGCAGTGAAAGCAGCCCTCCTGATGTCTAAGGTTGGTATCAGGTTGGGTCTGGGGACCTAACAAGGCAGCTGTCTCCTGCTTATGCTACGGACGATGCTAGATGCTAAGGAGTTATTGAGTCCTAGTGACCCGATGTGCGGCAGAGTAAAACACTGGCCCATCCTGATCGTTACTGCTATGTTAGAACCTACTGTGGCAGTCCGTCTCCTTAAAGGTCTTCCTCTTGTTCACTGACCCTCTACTTTATCAAGCATGATGTCCTTCTCCAGGGATTGGTCCTCCTGATAACATGTCCAAATATGTGCGTCTCACTAGCCTCAACCATACGTTTGCCAACAGACATGACCCCTCTTGACAGTCCAAGGCATATTTGACTTTTGTTGCAACACTCTAATTCAAAGGCATCTTCTCGGGTCTTCCTTATAGATCCTCTAACTTCCCCACCCAGGGGAAGTCACTGAAAATACCAAGGTGGGCCGGGAGTGCCTAAAAATGACATTTTGGCTTTTTTAACCCATTAAAGAGATCTCTGGGTGCCTGATTCCAATTTCTAGACACACAAATCAACCATAAACACCTGCCAGGCCCAGTTCACTTGGCCACAGAATGTAGATACAGAAATTCCTGGCTGGAAAACCCTTGTTCCCTGGTCCCTGGGTGGCCAGAAACACTAAATCCCGGTGTCTGGAATGCTGTGATCTGGGGCTCTGCCCTCAGCAGCTCAGTGTAAATCCCAGCTGTGTTCATTTATTAACTGCAGGGCCTCCCTGAACGTCTTTCTGCTCTGCAGATGCTAAGACTGGTTCAAGGCCGACCCGCTGTTAACAAGTGCCTGGTCTGAACCCACACAGCAGCTCCACAGGGAAAGACCCCGAAATCTGGCAACGCTGGTCCAGGGGCTCTGCTCTTCCGTGCTTCCCGCTCTCTCCTGGGATTGTAGGTCTAGATTTGCCGGATTTGGTCCCAAGTCTGCCTCCCACCCCTGGGCCTGGCCCTCCCCCTCCCCACAGCAGGTGGTTTTCTCAGATGGCAAGAATCTTTCCCCAAATCAGAGCAGATTGAGCCCTGGGAGGAGAAACGGGGGTGGGAGTGGGGCGGGGGGATAAAAGGGGGTGAATCTGGTGGGGAAAGAGGGAGGCCCAGAGACACACAGCCCATTGTCCATGGACTAGAAGGAGGCCCACAGGCCCTGTCCTGTGACACTGACTGTGCCCAGCCATGGGACACGGGGCAAACACACTCACCACTCAGCACAGCTCAGACCCAGAGGCCCTGGGCCAGGGCCAGCCACAGACAAACAGAATACGCGGAAGAAAGGGAAAGGCATTCCAGTAGCTGCACTGAGGTGCTAGGCTGCAGCAGGGCTGTGGTAAGGAGGGTCTGCAGGGCCTCTGCCACAGACCCAAGGTAGCTTCCTGTTTGCCTCCCACCTCCAGCCAAAGGGGAGTAAAGGGGCCTCACCAGGTGCCAGGGGGACACTCTAGTCTTACAAGATACACTGCAATACGATGAGGCTTTCCTCTGATAGTTTTCAGAGAACACTCTGGTCAACACAGGTCGTGAGGCCTGTGGCAATGAAAGTGTTAGGAACAAGAAGGAGGCAACTACTGTGGGGAGCCTCCATCCTGCTCCTCAAACATCAGCTGCCCACCCCTCCCCTGACCTGCTCTCCAGTGAGAGAACCCCAGCGAGTGTCCAAAGGAAGCAAAGAAATGGAAAAGCCAAGGAGAAGATGGAAAGGAGCCAACTGATTATCTGACACACACACACACACACACACACACACGCACGCACGCACGCACGCACGCACGCACGCACGCACGCGCATGCACATGCACGCGCACGCCCTGGATATTGAAAGGTCTTTATTACCCACAGTTTATTGCCATCAGTTTCCCAGCTATACACTGAGGCCTCGGTGTGTCTCCAACCATGCTGAGGACCCACGAGACACGGCCTTTGTCCAACTCTCTCTCCTTTGGGGTGACCAAGGTGCTCCCTGGGGCAGGCAGTGTGCAGAGGGTCCTCAGGGGAGCAGTCAGAGGACAGGAGCAAGCAGCACACCGAGTGGAGGAGGGTGGGAGGTGGGAAGGGCTGGCCCGGTTGCGATGGGAAGGGGCCAGGGCTCCCTAAGTAGGGATGGCGCCCGTGGCAAAGAGCACAATGAAGAGGATGAGGATGAAGACGACCACGCAGATGATGACAATCATCTTCACGTTCTTCCACCAGAACTTGCGAGCCACTTTCTGAGATGTTGTCTTGAAGTGCTCGGACTGCGGGGACAAGCAGAGTGAGTGACCCAGAGCCACATGCCACACACCTAGATGCCACCCCCCAGATGCTTCAGGTACGAACTGGGGTAACAAATCGTCATCTAGGAGAATGTTCTATCCCCCGACCCTGGCAAATGAGCCATCACAACCACCTGGCAGGCCAGGTTCAAATGGAGAAGGTGGGGGCTTCTAGGGAGTTTTCCACCTAAATGGGGGCTCTCAGCCTACACCTTCTCATCTCACCCAGCCCCGTCATAAGATGGAGGGATCTTGTAGACACATGTGCCACCCTAGGGCACAGCCCTGGCAGGGCAATCTGCCCTTGGGAAGGCAGACCTGGGGGAGGGCCGGGACCTGGGTGGATAACATCTCCCTGGCTCCATAACCTCTTTACCCCCGGACTGCTGTACCCAGGGGAGGGTCGGAGGGCAGGATGGGAATGGTGCTGATGATGTCAGTGAGGGACCCTGCACCTCCCCCTCCTTCAATAGCACAGACTGAGGTTCCCTGGGTCCTCCTCCCCAGATGAGGTGCCAGGAAGTCATCCTGCGTCCTTGCACTCAGAGAGCTGGCTTCAAGACTAACCTCAGGACTCCAGAGCCTGAGCTAGTTTCTCCCAGCTGAACATGGAAGCTGAGCCTCTAGCCTCTGCTGAACCTCCCTAAGCATCTGCCCTCAGGCCCTGGCTAGGGGGAGAGAGTGATGAGGCTGGTTTGTGGGAGATATTATTCTAGCCTTGAGCAGTCAGAGGACCCGGCATCAAAGAATTCCCCTGCTCTTTCAGCTCCTCTTTGAAGCTGACTCAGCAGGACTCTGGTAGCTTTTCTTTAATGAATTTAAAAATGGTTAATTAGGGGTGTGTGTATACAGTTAAGATGGGAAGTTGTGCATTCAACAGTAAAAACTGCTCATCAACCCCAACCCATATTCCAATCTGTCCCACTACCCTGATTCCTCTCAATTCTTTTGGGACTCTGTCCTCCTTTACCCAAGTCTATACCTGTCAGTCCTCTCAGACTCTAGTAGATTTTTCATTCCTGCCTGCTAAGTCCTGGAGAAGGCCAGAGGCCAGAGGAGGATTACCCCAAACCCAACCATTCTGCCCTGAAGAGGTCAGGTCTCAATGGTTAAGGGCAGCCTTCAAAAAGAAAACTGGGCTCACTGGAAGGGAACCTATGAACAGAGGCATCTGTTGGTCTTGGAAAACGCATCATGGGTCACTCTGCCCCAAACACGCATACACCCACCACTGCCCCAGCCATTAGAACCCACTCCCTGGGTCTTGTTTTTCCCTACAAATAAAGACTTCCCTAGCCCCTAACACACCACCCTCCTCCGCTCCCGCCAGCCCGGTGCCCCAGCCTTACTGTGGCTTCCAGGTCCTCTGTCTTGTTGCGAAGATGATCCAAGTTTTCTCCTCGGGCCAGGATCCGCTCCACATTCTGGGTCATAATGTTCTTGACGCCCTCCACCTCGCTCTGCAGGTTCCGCACCCTGTCATTTCCTCCACCTCCGCTGCTCTCCTCCTGAGAGGCAACATGGGGTTCATGAGGCTGAGGGGGGTTGGGGAGGAAGGAACAGAAAGCCTCTCTCAGAGGCCAGGGGAGAGCGGGGAGACACTAGCTTTTTAAATACCTGAGTGGTTTCCAAAGAGAATGTTTCTGCTCATTACCTGTGTAATAAATGCATTTTTAACTCTAGACAGTAAACGTTAGACAAGACCAATGTAATGTCCAGGTCCAATGTGCTCCCATCAGGGCTTTACTTGTGCTGCTCAAACATACACCGAATCTGAGCTGGGCTTTCGCGATTGTGTTAACTAATTTTGATCTGAAGTGTAAGCCAAGTATGGGAAACAGAAGGATTTCTCCCAAGTTGTCTCCCCCAAATATATGCCAAACTTAGGTGCTTGCAAATGACTATACACTTGGAGGTCATCAGGAGTAGCCATCTAGAGCAAGCAGACACCACTGTTTATCCCACAACAAGGAGGGCCCACTCCCTTCTGGTAAGGATAGTAGTTGTCTGTTTCCTTGTAGGAGACACCAGAAAGGTCAAACCCGTCCAAGGATGACCAAGGTTTGGCTGCCATCATGAATCTAGGGTCTGCCCATCTTGTCACATGTATACCCCTAGACCTTCCCATTCCTATGGGCACACCCCTAGCTCATCCCCTTCCTGTCACGCTTATGCCTATCACAGATCCCCTTCCTACAATGTGTATGCCTATTGTACTGCCCCTTCCTGTGACGTGTGGTTACCTGTAATCAGGGCCCCCAAATGAGATAAACCCTTGGTTAGCAATAAAGTGGGGGATCTCCTGCTCTTGCTCCCGGGGCTCTCCTGCTTTCGCGGCTGGGCTCCCCCCACAAGGACCATCAAGTGGGGCTGAGGTGAGCATGCTACCATGAATTGCATCTGACTCCATTATTTGACTCTCTCCTCTACGTCTCATGCTCTCTATGACTCTACTATAATCTTTACTTAGTATTGCTGTACAATTGCGCCCACCGGACCTGCGATGATTTGTTGGGGACTCTCCTCTCCCCACAGCCAAGCTGCTGTAAAAGGATTAAGGTTGAATTGCAATACCCACCCTCTCATCACAGTCCCAATCTGATCTAAGAGGAGTTTTCCTGGGGTGTGGCCTGCAAAGCAAGGAGAGATCAGAGGGATACACTATCAGAGGGATCTACTACCAGCAAGAATGGGCACAGGCCCTTTGGACCCAGGTCTACGCTGAGAACCTCCGGATCCAGGAGAAGATTGATGTTAGGACACGTGGGATGTCCAAGGAAGGCTTGGCTACACGTGCTGAAAGGAAACACCCTTTCTTCTTACAGATGAGCCCAAAGAGAGAAAAAGCCTCACCCTGAGCTACTGCCAGGAATTCAGACCTGTGGCAGCCTGAAATGTGAGCGACTACATCTCTGATCGTTAGAACCATGCACTGGAGGGGCCTCTGTTACAGCAGAACTGGAGGATTCAAATAGTTGCTGGCAAGGAAAAGAACCTCGCCTTTAAATTCCACTGCACTGCCCCTGGCTCCTCAGAGGGACAATGAGATAGCGGAGCTACTGTCCCCCCAGGTTCCTTCCTGGCCAGCGAAGAACCCAGCAAGTCTACACGTTCCCAGAGGACTCCGGGCTTTCTCCCATCCTATAGGCCCATGTAAGCCTGGGGATTTTCCAGACCCTGCAGAGTGGACGAAACCCTGAAACTCTTGCTCTGAGATAATATTTAAACCCTAAGCCAAAACTAGACCCTAAAGGCATCTACCAAAAAACAATGGTTTAGTTTAATAGTTTAAAAGGTTGGCCTTGAGCATTATGCATTATGTTCTTTTAAGTACTGTGTTTGACATCAAAAGGAGTCCTGGTTTCACAGGGGTTATGTACTAGTCTGCTAACTGTAAGGTTCAAAACCACCAGCTGCTCAGCAGGAGAAAGATGAAGCTTTCTACTCCCATGAAGGGTTACCGTCTTGGAAACCCACAAGGGCACTTCTACTCTGTCCTACAGAGTCAGCATGAACAGGATCGACTTGAGGGCAGTGGCTTTGTTTGACTGGATGAGTTCACATCAACAACAGCAACCCAAAGATGGGCACTTTAACTTTATAGGCAGGGAATTTACACCAATAAGGGACGACTTAGAAAAGGAAGGTGAGGATGGTTGAGCAACTTGAGGATCATAAGAGTACCCCAAATTAGGGCTCCTGAGAGGGGTATGCTAAGGTCTGAAATGAAAACTCTTTTGAATCAAAAGTAATTTCTTCATTAGGAATGCAGTCTTGTCATTTCCAGAACTCTGTACCGTACCTTGAAAAATTACTTGGTAACAATTTCAGTGAGCACTGTAATTTTGCTTATTTAAAGGCTTCGCGTAGGAAGCCAAGTCTAAACAGTTCTCTTTGCAGATCCTTACCCAAAATAAACTTCAGAATCATAGATGTCTACCTGTAGTCGTGCAAAGAAGGCCGTAAGGGTCTGCAAGAAGTAATCCTCACAATCTGCTGTAACTTGCCTCGTGTGAGATTTAACCAAGGGCATGAAGAAAAGTGCATTGGTTTCAGCTGGCTCATAAAGCCCTGAGGGGCCTCTCAGACACAGAGTGACACCAAAGGACCATCCGCACACTACAGGTAACAGGTGAGTTCTGGGGACGGTGGTCAGCAGAAAGAACAAACACCAAGACCTTCAAGAACCTTGAGGACAGCTCGACCTCATTCCTACACAAAAGATGACCTCAGCCCAGGTCCTGTCACTCCCCTGCTCTCCTCCATACTATAAAACCTGTTGGCTCGAGATGAGCTGTAAGGTAGTTTTTTAGGATTTTTACCTGCCTCCTTCTCAGATTGTTGGCATTTGAATAAAGTGCTTGTAAAATGATTCAATCCCTGTCTCTGCTTTGTGGTTCAGTATTAACAGGCAGCACAATTTGTTCATTCAGATTTCAGGGTCTCATGATTGTTTTGAAGACAAGTATATCCAACTTAATAATAACTCTCTAACTTTTTAAAAGTTGCATCTAATTTTGTAACCATTACCTAAATGCCACCCCATCCTGAATTTTTACTGAAATTACTTATATGTTCTTAGAAAAACTCCCTGCATTATCTTCTCCTTGGATCACTTAGTTTAGAATTCTCCGGATTTTATGATTCCCAGTTTGCAAACTGTCCTGTCTCTCAATAAAATCTCCTCATGTTTAATTTCAACTAGGCCCTGCCATTCTGCTGTATGACATTGCGTGGTGTCAGAAGTGGGATCCAAAGGAGAGCTGAAGGAGCAACTGCCAGAGGCCTGGAAACCCCGGGCCCAAGTCAAGAAGAAACCCCGGGCCCAACAACTCCCCAAGGGCAAACCAAAGAAGCCCAACCCCCAACCGAAATTCAACCCCCTTGGAAAAAAAACCAAGAAACTTAACGAAGAATGCCCCTCCCTTCAACTCCCCCCTCAAGCCGGCCCAAGAACCGGGCAACAAGGGGCCTCAAGAAAGGCCGTCCAACTTCAAAGAACCCCGAGGCCCCGGAAACCGAAAAACCCCGCCAAGGGTTGAACAAGAAAACCAATAAAAAAACCTCCCGGGGTCAACAAGCCCGGTGCAAAATCCAAGGAAGGATAAGGTGGCCGTGAACAGGTCAGAGCACGAGGCTGGCTGTCAATTGCAAGCAAACTCATACAAAGAAGGCACCCATTGGTCTGTGCAAAACCTGGTTTAACCCCCATAATGTTCCATTCGAGGTGTTTATGACTCAGAGAAAACTAAAAGGCGACTCCCTATGGCCTTTTGCCTCTGGGCCAATCAAGGACAGGGCTCTGTGTTTGGGTGAAAACCATAGATTCTGATAGAAAACAGTAAGTGCAAATTCACAAGGGGAGGTAACAGCTCCTGGTCTGGTCTGTAAAATCCACAGGCTGACGTACAGATCCCAGTTAGCATCACCTGACTGACAATTTTCAAGTCAGTGGCCATTTCAAAATACTTTCTAACGAGAGAGACTCACTCACTGCTGTCCAGTTGATGCCAGCTCATAGCAACCCTGTAGGACGGGGTAGAGCTGACCCTGACCCTGTGAGTTTCTGAGACGCTAACTCTTTGTGGGAGTAGAAAGCTCTGTCTTTCTCCTGAGCAGAGGCTGATGGTTTCAAACTGCCGACCTTGCAATTAGCAGCTGAACACATTGAGCTGCCAGGGGTCAATTCCATTAGAAAGATGAGTATATTTCAAAATAACAGACTAGGTTATCTAGCTGGCAAAATGAATTAGGTTTAGAAAAATTAAAATTAAGTTTCTGTTTATAGTTTTTATAAAGGAATTCCAGATGATAGATTCTCTGCTAAGAATTTTATTTCAATCTGGGAAATGAAAGTTTCAATGTAATTTTTAACATCCTAGATATATATATACATGTGATATATATACATATTGATCAAGGATGTTAATATTATATATTATATTAGTACCAAGGATATTAACATATATAATAATTATTAATACTGATGTATACCAAGGATGTTAAATATTCAATATATATGGATTTCCCTCCTTTCCAGGAAGCTGGTTTGGGGGTTGTATTTAAAAATACTATAAACTGAATATGTTTGACGTAACTTAAAGTCTCAGTGATCACTGGAGCCTTTCTACTTCACTTTGTTTTGAGAAGCTTGACTCTAATATAGAATGCTGCTGGATCTGACTTCCTGCATCAAGGTGAAGGCCATGGCTGATGTTTTCTATGGGCTTTTCAAAATTCTCAGTTATTTTTTCTTCCAAGAAAAATCACTTTTACTGTGCAAAACTTTGATTAAAATTTGGGCTATTTTAAAGGTGTACTGATATCCAATAGACTGATGGACCACACAAGGCCCAGCTTCCACCAACTCAAGACCAGAACTAAATGGCACTTAGATATCACTGCTGACCACTCTAAATGGGATTGTATTAGAAGGTCCTCGATAGAGTAGGGGGAAAGGCAAAACAATGCTCAAAATCGACACAAGAAAACCAGACTTACTGACCAG